GAGGGCGCGATGGCCGCGGTTGACGCCGCGAAGCCTGCCAGCGCGACGTCCTCCGCCACCAGCGGCGCAGTGGCCGAGGGCGCGACAGCCGCGGTTGACGGGGCGGCGGCGGTGTGGGCCACAAGCGCCTGCCCGGGCGAAGTAGCAGCCGGCGGGAGCGCGAAGAGGGAGCCGACGCTCCGTGTCCCGATCGGCGCCTGAAGGGAGGCGGCATCCAGCGGCCTCGAGAGAAGTGCCGCGAGGGAGGCCGGCAGAAAACCGGTGGCGGTGGAGCCGGACGCAGCGGCGGACGTCATAGCAGTCGGGCGACGGCGACGGCGGGCGCGGCGGCGGCGGCGGCGGTTTAGGGTTTTTAGGCGGAAGCGGACGTAACCTAGCGTGATACCATGTAAGACAATAGGCTTTGGGGGGAACCGGCACAACCCTCTAGGGGTGGCCTATCACATATATATATAATGAGGTGGTATACAACGTTACAATATACACATGTAAATACAGTCTAACACTCCACGGCAGCTCGGCGGGTTGGCTGGGGTGGCGGCTGGCTTTCCGGCGTCGGCTTGTCTGTAGGTGGCCCGTTTCGACCTTCGGCCCTCTCCTCGTCGTCTAGTTGCTACCTTCGTCGAAGATTCGGCCCTCCCTCGACTACGGTCCATCGCTCATCTCGCGCTCGGCAGCAGGACCGAGCTCGTCTCGCGTCGGCAGCAGGACCGACCTCGTCTCGCGCCCGGCAGCAGGACCGACCTGGTCTCGCGCCCGGCAGCAGGATCATGCCCGTCTCGTGCCCGGCAGCAGGACCGTGCTCGTCTCGTGTCCGGCAGTAGGACGGATCGATGGAGGCTAATTTTGGCTGGCCTTTGGGTTTCGGCGTTGGGGGCAGCCCAGGGGTGCAAAAGGCGGTTCCTTTCCGCTCGTATCTTTGGTTGGGGTAGCGGTGGGTCTCGAGTGAGGTGGTGTCCGGGTCTTGGATGCCAGGGCGGCGGCCCTGGTGGTGGCTCCACGGTGCTCTTGGGCAGAGCCCGTGGTTAGGTGTTGCCCAGTGCCCATGGCCGTGTGGGCGGCGTGGTCAATGGGATGTGGTGTCCGGTGGTGGTGAGTGTTGGCCGGAGTGAAAACCTGATCTATCTTCGGACGGACTGGCGGCGGCGAAGCTCGCTCCCTTCTTGAAGGCGTCGTCACGGCTCTCATTGCCCGTCGTGTTGCTCCAGGGGAAACTTTGATCCTCGGGTCGGGCGGTGACGGCGCTCTGGTGTCGTAACCTTCCTAAAGGCGCCGCCTTGGAGCACACGGTTCGTCATATGCGGCTTCTTCTCTTCGCGTTGGCGTGTCCACGGTTGAGGACTCCGGTTGCTCTTGCAGTACTAGGGGTAGTGTTGCTGCGCTCAGTGCCTATGTATCCAGCCTTGGGTGTGTGCGTGTTTTGGGGTGGCGTGCATTTGTATCTGAGTTGTGGTCGGTCATTGCTTTATATATAAAGCGGGGCGAAAGCCTTTTTCGGTAATAGAGTCAAATCGGTGACAATGCAACATGTTCTCATGCTCCTACCAAGTCTCGATCAAATCAATATCAAACTTGAGTTGACAATATTTTTGGGGATTTGGCAGGTTGAACTTGCAAAAAAGCTGAATCACATCATCGGCACACTTGAATAATCAATAAGCTGACTGATGTTGATAACTGGCCAGATTGATAATTTAGTAGACATAAGAGAGAAAATAAAAGCATTAAATCTATCATACCTGAGCATCATACATTACAATCGACGCAAATACCACCGACATCCCGAATATGGAGTCAGCAAACCCCCTGTGTTCTGAACCCCGAATCAATAATAAATAGACAAACACTAAGGACAAAAACAAGCAGAAACATGTCAGCCCTCAGCTAAAGCACGTTAAAGAAGCTGACCTTTCTAGCGCAAGCGAAGTAGTCACTGCCACAACTGCCTGCAATATGAAGAATAATAGTCAGATTCATTCAAAATTTGAATTGTCACTTTGGCAAGAATTAATAGCTTTACCTCTCAAATATATATGATTATGCACCTGAATAAAGAAGTAACATGTTGTGATGATACCTTTGATTTCTATTCCACGGTGTATGTTTCCCAATATAACCTTTTATTTTTACTAACAAAGCATCTCAAGAATCCAAACGTCATCCTAAGTGTTAATTTGTGATTCTAATCATGATGGTGCAAATGAAAGCATGATGGTGCATGGGAGCAAAGAGTAGTCAGCCTCTGTACATAGGGAGAGTAGTGCGTACGTATTTATATAGTTTCTGGATCTGTCCCCTTTTCTAATTCACAGTAATTCAGCTGCCTTATAATGCTTTCAGTAGCCATATAGGACTAGTGGGTGCCTTGTTGCAAAATTCCCTGGCTGTAACTTTCCTCGTATAATTGACAGTCACATTTGTGCTCCCTGTGATATCTCATGATTTGTGTTCACCCTTTTAAATACATGTCCCATGTGTCCTTGATTTTTTTTCTCTTTTTACGATGCTTTTTTTAGCACTAATGCTTCATTTCGAATTGTGTTGTTCTTGTACTTCAGAAGCCTATATGTAACAGACTATTCATTAGATAGATGGCCACTGGCGACAAGTTAATTATTCAGCGTGACAGAGAAGATATATACCATCGAGAAACGAAAATCTGAAACTAGTTGCATGCACACACACATTGTGAAAATACAATTTGTGAATTTTCAAAAAAAATACAAATGCATAATATGCTGCAGTATGAGTATTTACAAAAATAAATCATACAAAAAATGTGATCACTTGTGAACCGTGCAAAGACACGAAATCATGTATGTAAAACTGGTATATAAAATTTAGTACAACCATGATTTTCTTTCAAAATGTTTTGAAACTTCGAGATGCATATTCACAATATGAGGTGCGGACACAAGTAACTGTGGAAAATCCACGTTTCCGTTCTATCTCCATTCTTCATTTCTTATTACATGTTGCTTAGAATTCGTGCAGCCCAACTTTATAAAGCATTATGCTGTTTCATTCTTGCAATGGAAGGGGTGAAAAGCCTTTGGCTCTAATTCTCTTCCAAAGTTTGACCAACAATAGATAATAAAAAACAATCTACATCAGCAATATAAAGTAACGATCATTAGATTTTTCATTTGATGTTAAAATATATTTTCATCATCTTATAATGCTAGTAGTACATCTAAATGAAAAGTATCCGTTTATAAAGTTGTAGAAATGTAATGGTCAAAATAGCCTCTGGAAGAATTATTTGACCCCTATAACAGGAGCACAATCTTATCCCAGGCAGGGCCTAAGAAGAGCCAAACACGCTCTTGATCACTCCAGTAAAGCAGCAACACAACAAACTGAAGGAATTAATGGTCAGTAGAAGATGGTCTCACCGCTGAGTGGGTGGAGGGCATCCCCCCTGACTGGGCGGCGACCCTGACGATGTCGATTTTGCCCCCATCCCTGCCGGAAGTGAAGGGCTTGGCCAGCTGCCCGATCACACCGGCCACCGTCGCCGCAATCAAGACCTTGAAACACGAGCCGAGTCCTTACTCAATCGAAAAATGAACGCAGCAGTCCGTTAAGCTAGTTACGGCGAACCTTGTTGTGCGCGAGCTCGGCGACGTCCTCCGGCCGGAAATGGAGGGAGAACGCGGCCGTGAGGGCCCGGCGGCGGCGCGGCCCGTGCCTCGGGGGAGACCAGGAGGAGGAGGAGGAGGGAGAGGTGAGCGCCGCGGAGGGGGGTGGGCGGCGAGCGAAGGACGACTGGGTCATGGCCATTGGATTCCCGGGAGGCGGCGACGGCTGCCTGCTCCCTACTGCCGCCCGCTTCCCCTGCTGTTGAGAGAGTGGGACAGACCAACAAATGGGCTCTCCTCTCTCTTCTTTCCTGTGGCCTTCCTCCTCTTGTTTTAAATTTCCTTATCATTATACCATTTGCATCTCAAGGGCTTATTTTGGATTAACGGAACTTTTTTTAGAGAAACCTTCAATCTATTTATAATCAATCATGTACAGAGAACATCATTTGTAAAAAAATTACAACCATGTCCATAGACCACCACCTTGCAACGAGCTAAGCCGAATGCGTGTCCGCATCATAGCCCCTTCCTCACCGGAGTCCGGCAAACCTCATCATAGCAGACAGTTCAAAAGTCATCGTGTTAAGGTCCCATAGTAGACAGTCAGAGCAACAACCATCATCGATGAAGAGTCTTAACTATATGTAATCTTCCGACGCCATCCTTCGCTTGATGGTCGTCTGTCTGTCGCCGCCGCCCCCGTCGCCGGAACCGGACTAGGCGCCTGTTCCGCTCTCCAGCGGTTTTCTTTTTTCTTTGCTTGGACTTGTTGAGCTGTGCCCTCAGAACCTTTGTACTTGTTTGTGAAACTTGGATGTATGTGGACTAGTCTTTGTATGTGTACTCTCCGGCGGTTTGCTTTATTTATAAAACGGGGCGAAAGCCTTTTTCGATATATGTAATCTTCCAAAACTCAATGAAAATTCTTTGATCCAAAGAGAGTCTAACTATACGTTACTCCCTCCGAGTGTCAAACACGCTCTTATATTATGAGACGCTCTGTCAAAAACACTCTTATATTATATTATGAGACGCTCTGTCAAAAACACTCTTCTATTATGGGACGGAGGGACCTGGAAAAAACAGCTCGACTATCACGAGAAGGAGAAGGGACAGCGACAAGCATTCTAATGCGTATCAGGCTGAGGTATTCCGAATGAAACACAATGCGATTCCTGGGTAAAAATAATTGAAAATGTTGTTGTGAGCATCGATCTTATAGTTCATGAAGATGATTTTTATAGCCCAGGCACTTTTTGTACTAAAGCGTCATTTGGGAAACTCTACGCACGTTGTGTGGAAGAACCCTGTCCTGAGAAGGGGGCAAATGCGTGCAAAGACCAGAGTTTAGTGCAGCAGCCGCTGGATAAGAATAAGATACCCGCACGGCAGTGGGACAGCGAAAGCTCCAACGACCAAAACAGGGGAAAAGACAAACAAAATAACAGCAGAATGTAACCTACGGGATAAAGTACAACGAGTCAAACCACACATGAGAAAAAAGAGAGAACACTCACTAATACCAAAAAAAAAAAACTTATGGAGGTTCATGAAATCATTCCATGATCACATATTTTGGCAAGGCAGGGCACCCGCCCATACATCACATGTCCAGTGTTCACCATTTTTGGTTAGTCACATGTATGCAGGGGATATTCAGGAAACGGGGTGTGGCGGTTGGTGAGTTCTGGGGACCAAAACAGAAGAGTTCCATATCAACATGGCTCTGTGCAAAACGGCTACGAATGCGGCGCGGCGTAGGGCTTATTGGTGCTCCACAAAAGGTGCCACTGGCTGGAAGCAATATCAGAAGACACCGCCTTGCTGCTCAGAGAAAATAAGTGTTCCCATGTTAGTGACAAGAAGAATATATATATACTCCCTCCGTAAAGAAAATATAAAAGCGTTTAGATCACTAAAGTAGTGATTTAAACGCTTTTATATTGTTTACAGGAGTACTTCATAATGGCGCAAAACAAAACAAATAGCTGCCAATGAACCACGCGCATTCAGGAGTTCGTTCAATGCCATGGACTTATGGTGGGGATTGATGGACTTAACAACCTTTGTCCCTTTTTTACATGCAAGTTATTGGCAAGCGGTATAACTAAATGGAAGGAGACTGAAAAGGTAGCGGGTCCTATGTTTTTTAAGGCGTCTGTAAGGCGGCGCCCCCCCAGCG